AATTCTTTATACAGTAAAAAATAACTATACATGACTAACGATATTTCAACTAGGGAAGTTTTTATTTTGCTTTTTCTGGTAACTCCATTTGTAGACACTATTATCTTACCTTTCCTTTGCAAGCACAGCAAGTCCTTGCAATAAGATAGGCACAACTGTCTGATCCAGATAGGCACGAGTTGGCAAAGACTGGAGATCCACTTTCTGTTTTGATGACTTTTCTGCATTAATTTTCTCATTTTCTACTATCCTCTGGTGAATTCAAGAAACATGCATGAATATTAAAAGATAAGTAGATTATTTTGAGTGCTAAACCAAAATTAATGGATATATAACACTAATAGAAAAGGTAAATCAATGACTAAAAAGCTGGCATTGAGCTATAAATCTCTCTGCCAAAATAAAATCAGACCCATCCCTAAATTTCATTCAAGCATTTTCTCTCTGAAGGCACCATATCTCACTTTTTGTAATGGTATATCTCCAGATCCTACAATTTTCTCTTTCCTTCTGCCTTTTAGGAATAAATACAAGGTTTTTTTTGTTTTGTTTTGTTTTTCATGAGAACACCTTCTTATGGCGTGCTTCAAAAAAAAAAATCTGAACATGACACTAAGTAGCATTGAATTAGAGTAAGAAAGCTAGTGTTGTTTCAATTTTTTCATCGCAGATAACATCAAGGACAAAGTCTCAGTTTGGTACTAATATGTCTTTAACACTTCTGCAACACTTGCTGAACTCCCTTAACAGAGAGAGAGCAAGCTTCAGGCTCAGAGCCGTCAACTGCCAACAGAATCTAGCAAAATTCATTACCACTGTTTTGAGGCTTTTTAATTGATTGTTCTTTTTTCTTTATAGTCATTTTTAATTACATCTATTCATATATTAACTGTTTCACAATCCACGTTATTACTTATTTGAAATTTTACATCTTAAAATAAGGATAAAGTATCTGAAGTTAACCAACTTGGAAAAGTTGAAATTTATCTTGATATTAACGGGCTTTAGTGGACGCTGCTGGTGCCCTATTTAGATCCGCTTTATCAGCCCTGCACCTCTCTTACAACTGATAAGAATATTACTACTGTTTTCTATTCACTATCTTCATTTTTATGGTTACCCTCTACCACAGTGAGAATGTTTTTCCATTTGTTTCTTTTTTTAAAGAAATGCATCTGTAATTTTTCAAGTGAATAAATTTAACAAAAAATATAAGTAAATAATAGCTAAAAAAAGGAGAAATGACTAATATATGAAAGATCATTAATGTGATATTTAAATGATGTTTAGGAAACAATGACTTATATTCCTAAGAACCCCCAAATTCTGGACCTTTCATATAGATTCATCTGACATCTAGAGCATCAAAAACTATTTTATTGAAAAACTTTGCCTTCCTTCAAAAATGTACCATTTAAAAAATTTAGAAATAAGTGGCTATCTAAAAGACAAAGACTATTATTTTTTAACTTTTTTTTTTATTGTAGTCAGTTTACAACGTTCTGTCAATTTCTGGTATACAGCATAATGCTTCAGTCATACATGAACATACATACATTCATTTTCATATTCTTTTTCACCGTAAGTTACTACAAGATATCAAATATAGTTCCCTGTGCTATACAGTATAAACTTGTTTGTGTATTTTATATATACCAGTCAGTATCAGCAAATCTTTAACTCCCAATTTATCCCTCCCCACCCCCTCCCCCTCTGGTAACCATAAGTTTGTTTTCTACATCTGTGAGTCTGTTTCAGTAAAAGACAAAGACTATTAAAAGTACTTTCATTTAAATGAACTTTTCCTCCAATCATACTCAAACTGGATATGAATGAGTCAGTAATACCAAAAAATTTTTTTCTACACTTGTTTTAAGATTTAATTTGTAAAAAGTACCATGGTTTCCAAAGACACTTCCCAGAGCGATGTCAGGCAACTCTTCTAGTTTTGCTTATGATTTTTCAATCTAATTTGCGACTTAATAAGAAAATAATTATCTACACTTAATGTATAAAATAGCTATGTATTTGCCCATGGATTAAGAAACTTATTGTTCATCAGTAAATTTCAACAGATAGTACTCAAATATGACAAAAACTAGTCAGTTTCATGACGTCCCAGTGCCTTCAATAAGAACAGCAATGCCTAAGCAACTCCTATGGATCCTGTAATAAACTCCTTAACCAAATCCTCTCATTTATTTCATCCAAACATTTACTGAATAACCACTATGCACCAATTACTATGCTTAATTTTAGTTAACTGAAAATCCTCAATTAATCTAAAAAAATATACATTGAACCTTGAACAATACAGGGGTTAGGGCACCGGCCCTCTCTGTGCAGTCAAAAATCTGTGACTAATTTATAATTGGCCCGCCTGTAGGCAGTTCCTCTGTATCCATGGTTCTCTATCTGTAGGCCCACAGATTAAACCAACCAGGGATTGTGAAGTACTATAGTATTTACTACTGAAAAAAATCCATGTATAAGTGGACCCACACAGTTCAAACTTATGTCGTTCGAGAGTCAATTGTATATCCAAACAAACAAACAAAACTGTTAACAGTGTAGAACAGTGATCACAAAAACTGAAAAAAAGGAGGTGAGTCTTATGATTTCCCCAGCTTACTGCATCCTGCCTGGAGAACTTACACAACGCAACCCAGAGAAAAGGAACCCAAGCAGAGCCCTGCAGGCTCCCTATGATGAGAAAACAGAGTTGAAAATTCAGGGAGACCAAGACAACCAGAGTTTGAGGGCAGAGTACTGAAGAGGAGAGTTGCAATGGAGAGGAGAGAGTGGCATGGAAAAAGACTAAAGAGAGTGAATTCTTATCATTTATCAGATGAGTACTTATCAGTGTGTTATTGGAGGGAACTACCCAAGGCTAAGGGGCAAAAAACCACTTTGAAGAAGCAAGAGGCAAAAATCCCTGGAACCCACATAGGCCAGTAGTTCATGGTCCTGTAACCCAGAATTGGGAAAACCTCATAAACACGAAGCATTGAGTAGAATACACAAGAGGAAGAAACCTTTTTTAAGGTGGTCTGGTCCCATCTAAAAAAAGCTTAAAGGCAAAACTCAAAAGGATCAAATTGTTTCCAAGGAACTTAACTGTATCCTAAGACAACGCTCAAGAATGTTTGAAGAAATATAAACATAGCCACTACCCAACAAAGTAAAGTTCACAATGCCCAGCTGCCAATAAAAATTACCAAATAGGCAAAGAAGCAAGAAAATATTACCCATAATGAAAAGAAAACCCAATCCACAGAAAGAGACTCAGCAGTGATACAGATGATGACACAGACAATGTCATTAAGACAGTTATTATAATATATTCCACATGTTCAGAAAGACAGAAGAATGAGTACATTAAGCTAACAAAACATTTGAAAATATTTGAAGAAATGGCTAAAATTTTTTTCAAATTTCATGAAAACTCTAAACCAAAGATCCAAGGAACTCAATGAATCCTAAGCACAAGAAATATTAAAAAAAAAAGTGCACCAAAATACATCATAATCAAATTACTTATAATCAAAACCAGTAATAAAATCTTGAAAGCCCCAAGAGAAGACATTAACTAAAGAGGAGCAAAGATTGGTATGATAGCAAACTTCACATCAGAAACAGTATCAGCCAGGAGACACTGGAGTAAATCTACACTCAGCAAAAGTAACTCAAAAACAAAAGCAAAGTATTTAACTTTTCAGACATTCAGAACCTTAAAGAATGCCTTACTAGCAGACCTCCACTACAATACATGTTAAAGAAAGCCCTTCAGGGGCAAGGAAAATGATACCAGATGGAAACCTGGATCTACACAAAAGAATGAAGAGCCCAGAAATGATAACTACATGGCTAAATGTGAAACAATCCTTTCTCTTACTGTTTAAATCTCTTTAAAGATAAGGGACTTTTTAAAGAAAAAAATAAAAATAATCAATTGCAGGGTTTATAACATCTGTAGAAGCACAATATATGAAAATAATAGTATACAAGCCAGGAGAGCAGAAATGGAAGGATACTGGTGTAAGGTCTTTATACCATACATGAAAATATACAACATTTGAAGGTAAATTGTGGGAAGTTAAACTTGTGTACTGTAAATCCTAAAGCAATCACCTAAAAAAATTACAAGTCAATAAACGAAATCAAATGGAATCATAGGAGAAAAAGCAGCAGCAGCTAGAGTAGTGGTTTCCAGACTTTCAGATACCACAAACAAGTAAACTAAAAATAATACAATGAATGAAGGGACTAACATAGGGTTGTTAACTCTATTTCACCAAGTAAAATCATACGAACAAGCATAATTATTATTTTATTATCACCGTTAATTCATAAAAGAACAAGTACTTTAAAATTATAGAAGTTAGAAAACCAGTCACCAATTATGTATCATCAAACAGTCTCTTCTCATTTTTTTCTCTCTTTACCATGGAAGTTGGTATCAGAGTTTGATAAAAAGCATTTGGTATCACTGCTCTACTTGATATACAAGCAGCAGCAAGAAAAGATTGCTGATACCTCAAAAGAAGTCTCTTAAATGACTAGAACAAAGTGGTGTAGAGAATCTTCACCCGATTCAGAACAGTAGCTCAATTAAAAACTGCATTATGAAAAGAGACATTCTCTTACCACTGATATCAAACCAATAAACATTCCAAGCAATTTTATAAGCATAGAGCAGTCATTTTACACACCAGCGAACTCTAGGAGTTGGTCAAGATCAGCAATATAATTTAATCCCACCTCAAAAATGTCAGCATGCCTAGGCTTAACACACAGCTCTCCACTTACTTCCTGGTGACCTCAGACAAGTTATTCAACAGCTTTGAGCCTTGTAAGGCTGAAAATACATGCAAGTTACTTAGGAGTGTGCCTGGCACAGAGTTAAAAGGGCTAAATAAATATTAGCAGCTGTTACTATCATTACTCTGCTTGGAAATGATCCTGCCTTCATTTATCCAAACTTAATTACCAATAATGTCTTTTTTTTTTCTAAATGAAACACACACATCTTCAGGAACTCTCTACTTTCCCAACCAATCCCACCTAGCTATAGCTAATACAACTGTTCCAGCATTTATCCATTCTCTTACAAAGTAACTTCTACTTTTAGACAACAACCTCTTTGCACCTATACGAAAAAGCTCTATAAAAGTGTAACTTCTTTTGTACGTTTTTCACATGTACTCTTGTGAATTCAGACTTCACCATGTACGGCAAAAACAGTGTCTCCTACGTATGTTATAGCTTCCAAAGGCATCTGCTACTGAACTTTGAAAATCAACATTTACTAAATGTTGACTCCACCAACGCACTATTCTGCCACAAAAACAATGGGTTTCTTAACTTTGATGTGCAGTTTTTCCAATGCAATATTCCAACAGCGCATTAATAACCACCAAGCAAAACTATTCTGACAGTCTCCATTAGTAATGTATGTTTGTTTCTCTTTATCATTTTCGAAGTTCAACCTCTTGAGTCGAAGCTAGTTTGTACCACGAAGTATCAGTACAGCAAATAAAACAAGCTGCCCGTAATTTGATACTATTTGGTTCATGACGATAAAGTTTTCCCTGATGCAAAGCAACCTAGTAAAAACAAGAAAAAAAAGGATCCCAAGTTTTCTGCAGCTCATAAGAGATGCAAAGATACGGCATAGGAACGGCACGAGTTACCTCGACGTTGTCTGTGAGACCATACTCAGAGTGGGGATTTTCTGCAACCTAAAAAACAAAACACAGGTCAGAGCTATCAGCCACTATTTCTTGCTGCAAACTGCCACCATGAATCCAGGGCCTCCTGGTACCTGCGTCTGTCCTTCCAGCATCTGCTCTGGCTCCATGGCAGACCCTGCAAGTCACAGTTCCCGGATACCAGTCCTGGAAAACGAAGAAAAACTGTGAGTTACCCGGGAGATTTCAACACGAAGACGCCAGGATGGAGTCCAGCCCAGCCCCCGACCCCGCCCCTCACCCCCACCTGGGCGCGGGAGCACCCGGAGCAGAACAGGAGCAGGATGGGACAGTCCACGATCGGGCGCCCGCATCAGGTCCGGAAGCTCCGCGGCAGTACCGAGAACCTAGAAGAGGTAGGGAAACGGGGAAAGGGAGCTGATTACCCGCGCCCAAGCCGTTGGTTCCTAAGAGCCCTGCACCGCGCCACCAACTCCCAGCACAAACCGCTTCCGCCGTAAGTGACGGACGTCGCACTACTGCTGCGCCTGCGCAGAACTCCCCAGCGGGCCTCGGGCTGGGGAGGGACCCACGCCGGTCCTGAATCTACCTCGGTCTATGCGGCGAGCAGAGTCCTGCCCGAGATCTGGTCCTAGGTGCTGGGAGAGAATCTTCCTCGAGCTGCCTACCCAGAGCAAGCGCTACTCCAGCCGTAGACCCAGTGACGAGGCCAGCTGGCAGGGGTTTGGCCCGGTCAGCTCTTGGTGCTGCCTGAAAGCTGCAGAAGCTCTTCCTCGCGGAACCGAAACTACTTGCTGGATAGTTCTCACTAGAAAATCACAAACCCAAAACTCAACAGTCTACGAAAGAATGTCAGCGTTTTACTCTAAAGCCAACGTTGGGGGAAGAAGCAGTGTTAAAGAGTTTCTATTCAAGTCCTTTAATATGTGAACATGCCGTGTTAGTGCTACTGTACATATGTATCAAAATTAGCAATATGCAACTCGTTTTCCAAACCGTGATACTATTGATACTATTGTGTTTGTGAAAATACAAAAGATAATTTGCCTCCTACACACATTTGTAAATAGCAAACAGGATTTAGTAAATAGGATTGTTCTAATCCCAAAAAAATCTCATTTATTTTAATGTAAATATAAATGATACACTCATTAAAGTGCCTGCCTTTTTGATTCAACAATCCCATTTGTAGTTGCATTTTATAATATGAAAATTTTAAAACTTCATATAAAATATTTGGAAACTAAATTATGGCATACCAGTATAATAGTATAAAAGCCATGACTCGAAATACAGAAATAGTTTTGATTATAACATCAAGTTTTTTAAAAGGTAGAATACAACGTAATTTTTCTACTCTGTAAAAACTACATGGCTAAAAATCTACAGTAAATTAAATTTGTTAAGGAGCCAGACGTGTCGGTACATTTTTAAAGCTTTATTTTATAATGTATACTTGATTAGTATTGTGATTGGTGACTACTGCCATATGGCACTTTGAGGATTTTTCATGTAGAACTGATGCAAAGATGTAGATGTTTATGTATAGGATATAGAAACTGACTAGTACATGTATTAACTCAAATTAAGATTAAATGCTTTTCTGGAATGGGAAATAACAGCAAGTAAAACCAGAGAATAATTAGGACAACTTAAGAGAACAGTTAATGTGCATTGTTATATTATTATATGTCCATACATTTCCCAATACATGGCAGGCACTCTGTAAAAACTTCCAAATTCCAAAAAGTAACTGAAAGCTGCTAATTTACATTTTCTAAGTACTGAAGTTTTAGTAAAGTAAGAAGCTAGACTGTGAGCTCCTTCAGGACAGGGATCTTGTTTTATTTATCTTTGTACTTCACAGAGTGCCTAGTACATCACAGGCACACAATATATATTGAGTTGATACATAGTAAAAATTGGATTTTAATAAAGACACTGACAATACTGAAGAAAAAATGGGCAATATAAAAATGATGACTGAAGGAAACAGCACAGAAAAATTAACTATCAGTCAGGCTTCTCTCAATCTAGAGAAAAGTTATTGGTGTGATTTACAAAAAAGCTTCACTAAAGTCTTTACATTTATAACATATTAATTGAAAGATTCAGAGAACAAGCCATAGCAGCAGACAGCTGGACAAAAAACAAAAATAAAAGTAAATAGTGGGAGGGTACAGCTCAGTGGTAGAGTGCATGCCTAGTATGCACAAGGTCCTGGGTTCAAACCCCAGTACCTCCATTAAAATAAATAAACCTAATTGCCTCCCCCACAAAAAAAATTAAGAATAAATTTAAAAATAAATGAGAAAAAAATTTAAATAAATAACAGCTAGAAATGATGTAAATTAGCAACAAAAGTATAAAATTAATTCAAAATATTGCAGAATCCTGAGTTTTGATATGAAATTAAACATTCTATAAGAGGATGACCCTGAGAGCCATCATATGACAGAAATTTGCAATACCTGAGTACTGTCTAGAGTGGGAAAAATTAAAATTAAAAGAATGAGAAGAACATTACCTCTTATTTGGACTTGCACTAACCTGACTCCTCTCACCTGCTCCTATTATTTATTTTTATTATGGTACTTACCTCATCCTGCCTTATATTTTCTTTAGTTACACACAATTAGATTTTTTAGTTCTTCAAAGGTAAAGATCTTATTATATTCATCTTTGTATTTTTTGCTTCTTATATTCAATATTTTTTCAAAAGAAGTGAATTTATAGGGAAAGCAAGCAGTTACATCAAAGTACTAGTTTCTGGCCTTTCCTACCTTTCTTGGGGTTTTAGAGAGATAGTAGTTATAGATTCTAGAACTAGAATCTAGAACTAGAATTCTAGAATCTAGAGTAATAAAGAAAAGCTACTGTTCTTGATCCACTTTTTACAGACATGATGCAAATTCCACGCATAAAATATTAACCTATTTAGACAAGCAACACCTACTTAGGAATCATACAACAAGTGAAGTAGAGAAAGATTTGATTCGGGATTAGATAAATATTAAAACCTGGTTCCTTCACTTATTTACCATGTGGAATTAAGCAAATAGTTTAACTCTTCTGAGCTTCCTGTTTTTTCACATGTATAATTATGATAAAAATTCTTACTTCACAGAATCAAATGAGATGAGATAGGTGAAACTGCTTTATAAACTGAAATTATATAATTGTGAGACATTCTATTTACACCTAAGTACTTCATTTTTATAATGTCCTACCCATTGTTTCTATTGTTTTTTTTTTTCTATTAAATGGCTTGTGGGAAGTAAAGTGCTCAGAGAAATAAAGAACATGCTCTAGCACATACATACACACACATGCATGTGCATACACACACAAATGTGTCTGCAGAGAAATACATAGGATTTATTGAATGTAAATGGACCCACTGAACACAGTTTGTGTGATGGGACAACAACCATGTCCCAAGAAGATCTTGAAATATACCACATTTGGTAAATCAGTTTCCAAGGAAGTATCTTTTGGTGCCTAATATAGGAAGGCAATTACTCCACCTGGAGTTCCCTTGTCTTCAGTACTAAACCCCATGCCTAGGTACTCTTACCACCATCCTCATCTCACAAATGTTAGTGTACCAAGGAACATACCAAATGGGTTTTTAAAGACATAAATATAGAGTGCTCTTCTGATTTTTATGATAAAGGCATGATCCCAGCAATGAGAATAATAAAAATAAAGGAAAATGCTAAACTTACTATTATTTCCCATCCCCAAATTGTTAATTACAGCAGCCATTTCTCATAAGAAGTTATATTTAGTTATATTCAGTTATATTTTTTCCTAAAATTTCCTAAATTATTTTCAGTTTTTAAAGAGTTAATTTTATGCTTTGCATTTTCTTTTTAGAATCCAAATGACTATTGTCACTTAAATTTATGTTTATGAATAAGACATGGGTTATTAAGTAAGAGGTAAAATATATAGCTTTGATATCTTTTAATTTTAAGATACCCAGAGCAATTCCATGTTAATTTATGTTGAAACAATTTCTCTTCTTAGAGACAAACTTTGGTGGTAAATAGAAATTGATAGTTATATCACCTCATTTTAATACAAGATTATTGTTTAAAATGTTTTCCTCTATAATGTCATTATCTGAATGCATTGATAATACATTTATACATGGGAGAAGGCAGAAAAAAATGAATTAGAAGTCCAACTATGTTCAGGTACCTTGAGAAGTGATTTACTTATTCTACCATGTAATACTCCAATACCCTTATAAGTAAATATGATTATCCCCATAAAATAAGATAGATTCAGAAAATTGTCACACAAAATTAGATAAGTAATTCTGTGGCTAGCTGAAATGTCAATCCAGGTCCATCTAATTCCAAAGGTTGTGCTCCTGGCTGTGCAGAAATAGAAAACAAATTTATCAATTATTGTGCTTTTGATTTCCAGTAATAGAAATCCCAACTCAAATTTGTCAAACAATGAAGGAGACTTTTTGGCTAACAAAAAGTAGTGAGGTGGGCATCAGGCAAGGTTTAGTCATGGCTCCAATACTGTTTCTCTGCAATTTTCTCACCTTCATCTCTCTTTTATATATCAGCTTCATCCCCAGGCTGCTGTTCTCATGGATAGTTGAGAGACAATTACTAGAATTATTCAGGGCTACATGCTTTGTTTTTCACATTCAAGGAGGGAAAGCATCACTTCCAGTAGATCTACCCACAGACCAGAAGTCTGAAGTTTGTTTTGCTCTGTCCAACTTGAGCCAGTTATTTTGGTAAGGTGGATGCCATGTGCTGACTGCCACAGACCTGAATTACTACCACCCGAGAAGAATAACAAAGACGTGCCCTGGTGGTAGTTAATCCCACCTGAACTGCATGGCTTCTATACATGGGAGAGGATGGGTTTCACAAAGGAGAACCTTAGAATGGCTAGGAAGAGGGAAGAAAGAGAATGGATTCTGAGCAGTTAGCCAAAAAATATTCACTACCAAAGATTATGTAAAGAGTTCATACTCAGTATGAGCTTACTATAAGAGAAATAAAATAAAATAGAATGTTCACTTTGACATATCAATTTTACTTCCTGAGATTTTAGCCCATAAAAATACAAAAATGTACAAGGATATAAAGATACCTGTGTAGCCATTGAAAAGAATAAATTAGATCTATAGGTACGGGCATGTAAAGACATTTACAACATAATTTTATGTGAAAAATGCATGTTGTAGGAAAATCTGTATAGTGAGATTTTTTTTTTTTGCATGTGTGTATTTGTATGTGCAAAGGGAAAAGCCTGGAGAGACATACAACAAGCTATTAATAATGGTTACAAACTATTGATAGTGGTTAGTCTAACAGTGGAGAGGGAAAATGGGGAGGGGGAGTCTTTGCTTTTTATAAACTTCTATATTGTTTAAACTTTTTTTTTTTACCAAAAGCATGAATTTGTTTTAAAATTAAAACATTAAACCAAAACTTTCAATTTCTCTCTCCACCCACCCTTCCCTTTTCAGGATTTGCAGATACACACTACTATATATAAAATAGATAAACAACAAGTTCATACTGTATACATAGGGAACAATATTCGATACCTTGTAAAATATGAAAAGGAAGATATACATGTATAACTGAATCAATATGCTGTACATCAGAAATTAACACACTGTGAACCTACTATACTTCAATTTTAAAAAATCGAAAGGGTAAAAATATGTAGATAAATTTTTCTAATTGGAAAATATGTTGCTTTATTATAACACAGGCAATAATGGGGAAGAATATTTATGTGAGTAATGAGTCTAATCAGTTTTACGAAA